TTTCATCCTCAGACGGATGGACAATCCGAGCGCACTATTCAGATATTGGAGGACATGCTACGCACTTGTGTCATTGATTTCAGGGGTCCATGGGAGCAATTTCTGCCGTTCGCGGAGTTTGCCTACAACAAATATTACCAGTCGAGCTTTCAAATGGCTCCCTATGAGGCTTTGTATGGGAGGCGGTGTATATCTCTAGTGGGTTGGTTTGAGCCGGGTGAGTCTAGGCTATTGGGTACTTACTTGGTTCAGGATGCTTTGGACAAGGTTAAATTGATTCAGGAGCGGCTTCGCGCGGTGCAGTCTAGACAGAAGAGTTGTGCTGACAGGAAGGTTCGTGATGTGGCTTACATGGTTGGGGAGAAGGTTCTGCTGAAGGTTTCACCCATGAAGGGTGTTATTAGGTTCGAGAAGAAGGACAAGTTGAGCCTAGTTTGTCGAGTGTGCATCTAGTATTTCATGTTTTTATGCTACGGAAGTATGTCGGTGATCCATCTCATGTTTTGGATTTCAGCTCGGTTCAGTTAGAGGGTGATATGACTTATGATGTGGAGCCGGTGGCCATTTTGGTTCGGCATGTTCGAAAGTTGAGGTCAAAGTATATAGCTTCAGTAATGGTATAGTGCAGAGGTCATCCAGTTGAGGATTCTACTTGGAAAACCGAGGGGGAGATGCGGAGCATATATCCATACATATTTGAGACTCCAGGTGTGTTCTAGACCCGTTCGAGGACAAACGTTTGTTTAAGAGGGGTAAGATGCAACGACCCGGTTGGTCGTTTCAAGAGTTGTAGCCCCGTTCTCCCATTTACTACTCCTTTTATGCTTTTCAGTTGTTATATGACTTACCGGGTTAATTTGTTCAGGTCCGGAAAGATTTCAGAATGAATTGAGACATTTAGTCTCAAGGTTGGGGGCTTAAGTTGGAAAGTTAACCGGATGATGACCTATGTGTGAACGACCCGAGATTTGAGTTTTTATGGTTCCGTTAGCTCCGTTGGGTGATTTTAGACTTAGGAGCGTGTCCGAATTGTGATTTGGAGGTCTGTAGTAGAATTAGGCTTGAAATGGCGAAAGTTGGAATTTTAAAAAGTTTGACTGGGAGTGGACTTTTTAATATCGGGTTCAGATTGGATTTCCAGAAGTTGGAGTAGGTCCATGGTGTCATTTGTGACTTTTGTGCAAAATTTGAGGTCATTCAAACGTGATTTGATAGGTTTCAACACCATTTGTAGAAGTTGAATTTTCTTAGTTTAAATAGGCTTGAATTGGGGTGTAATTCGTGTTTTTGATGTTGTTTGAGGTGATTTGAGGGCTCGACTTCATGTTGTGTTTTAATACATTTTGGTATGTATAGTTGAGGTCCCGGGGGCCTCGGGTTGATTCCGGGTGGTTAACGGATCAAGAATTGGAGTTTGAGGTTGCTGAAGTTGTAGCCCTTATGGTGTGATCACACCTGCGAGGGTCTTGGCCGTAGGTGCGATGCTACAGGTGCGGCAGGTGGAGTGCAGGTGCGGAGTTGAAGGAGGTCAGCATAGGTCGCAGGTGCAATGGGATTTCCGCACCTGCGATTGTGCATATGTGGGACCGGAGTCGTAGAAGCGAAGGCTTGCTGGGTAAGTGACTATTGCAAAAGCACATGTTTTTTCCCAAAAGCGGATGCGCAGGTGCGAGCCCAGGCTCCGCAGGTGCAGGAATACCTAGGCAAAGCTTAAAAATGAGGTTTTTCGAGATTTTCACCATTTCTAACATTTTGAGCTCCGGTTTTGGGGATTTTTGAGAGGATTTTCGATGGCATTTTTTAGGGAAGCTTCTTGTACTCATTTTTATTCAATAATCTTGTTCACCCATTGATTATCCCACCTAAATTGTGTGGTTTTAAGGTGAAATTTGGGGGATTTGATGCTAGGGATTTGGAAAGTTTGATTTGAGGATTTGAGTGGCGATTTGGTGTCCGATTCTGATAAATTTGGTATGGTTAGACATGTGGTTGAATGGGCTTTCGAATTTTGTGATTTTTGTTGGATTTCGAGACGTGGGCCCGGGAGCCGGCTTTGAGCCGATCTAAGATTTTTGAGTTATAACTTCGTAATATCTTGTGGAAATTTATTCCTTTAGCCCGTATTGATTGTATTTTACTGCTTGTGGCTAGATTCGGGTCATTTGTAGGCTGATTTGCGAGGGAAAAGCATGTTGGAGTAGAGTTTTTCTCGGATTGAGGTAAGTAACACTTCAAAACATAGCTTTGAGGGCTTGAAACCCCGAATTATATATTATATGATTGGTGTTGAGGTGAAGTACATGCCAAGTGACGGGCGTGCACCGTGAGAATTGTGACCTGGTCGATTCCATGGCATTGTATAGTGGTTCTATCTTCTTGATATCCGTGTTTTCATCATGTGAGAAAGTAATTGCGTTGTCAATCATGCTAGAGGTCATGTTTAGGCTATATTCTAGTACTGTTGGGACCATAATGGTCGTTTCTTGCTGTTGACTTACTGATTTCATTGATATTTCGTACTCAGTCATATTCGTGCATTTCATACCATATCATAGTCTCTGTTGTTATTTATTGATACATCATATCATCATGTTCGGGCTAGTTTCATGACATTGTGAACGTGTGAGTGAGATTGGAGAGATTGATGACTGAGTGAGGCCGAGGGCCTGATTATGAGTGATATTTATGGGATCGGGCTGCACGCCGCAGTGGTTATACTGATTTATGATAGCGCTTGGGCTGAAGGAGCCCCTCCGGAGTCTGCACACACCCCGGCCTACTAAGCGCAGTTGATTATACTGAGGGATGGATCTTCCGTGGACATAGATCTTGTCTGAAGCATTTATATACCTGGAGGTGGATCTTCCCCACAGGCTTGATTGAACCTACTCAGTACTAAGTGACTGGTGGTCAGTTGTGTATATATTCCAGGATTGATCTTTCCTGGGCCGGATTGGCCATATACAATACTGAGTGATGGAGAATTTGAGAGTGTGAGCACATGAGGCTGTCAGCATGGTGCATCACATACATCATGTGCATTGGCATGTAGAAGTAGAGGATTTATATTCTTCATATCATTCAAATTTTGTCTATCTTACTGTATTGAGTTTAACTGTTGAACTTGAAAGCAAGCCTACATTCCTGCCCTGTTTTTTCCATATTGAACTATGCCGATTGAGTTTGTTACTACTTTTAGTCCAAAGGTTGAATTTGTTACTTATTGAGTTGGATGTACTCATGCTACACCCTGCACCTCGTGTGCAGATCCAGGTGCTTCCGGTCACGGCGAATGCTGAGTGTGGAGTCAGGATCTTGGGAGACTATCGAGGTAGCTGCATGGCGTTCACAGGCCATGACTCTCCTTCATTATCTTTACTTATGTTTCAGTTCTTATTCCTTAGACATTGTAGTAGACGTTATCCCTTTATAGATGCTCATGTACTCGGTGACACCCCGGTCTTTAGGAGAGATTTGTATTGAGTTGCGAGTTTTATTCTACTTTTAAAAAGGTTTTCCTAATGTATTAACCGCTTCCGTATTTTTCAAAGCTTTTATTATGTTGAAATGGTTGAGTAGTGGCTTGCCTAGTTCCACGATAGGCGCCATCACGACGGTTCGGTTTGGGTCGTGACACAATTGAACTAGCAAATTATATGAGCACCAAACTGCATGTATTTTGGAAATCTTTGGTATTATGACTAATCCCTCTTCTCATATCTATCGAAAAATATTAGTCTCTCCACAAAACAATTATTCGGGATGAAGTACCTGGTCCTTATAATTTGTATATCTAGTACTATCGATCGATGATGTATATCCTTTGGAGCCAGGGAGTGTGGAGAGAGAGAGAGAGTACATGCTTTCATTTTGCCATGAATTCATGATCACTTTCTTGCAGTTACAAAAAAGTCATATTTCTTCTTCTATTTTGATTGATTTTTATCTTTTTATATCCCTACTTCTTTTATGATTTTTTATTTATGAAAGAAATTCTTGTGCTACATGAAAAAGAGTACATGCATGGAAAGGAGTTGCGCGCAAGGAAGGAGGAGGAATAAAACATCAGATCAAGTTATGTGAATTTGATATAATTAGTTGGTCAGACTAGTCTTTCAAGCTTGAGATACGACCTAAAGAGAAAACCGTCAAGGTAGTTAAGAGAAAGTAGAAAAGCTTCATGTTACCTGCAAACTAGATTTGTGGCAAACAAACTTTCTCAAGATAGTTAAACTGCATGATCAAAACTTACAAATAGCAAAGAAGGTTTGACTTATACAACAATTGTTCCAACTATATCGAGTTTCCACGTGCAGTTCCAAGATCGTTAAGACAATTTGTTAGTTAGGTACTTAGGTTTAGAAAGTTGAAGATGACCTAAATCTATCACCATACTTCTATACAATACCAACCTTTTTGAATGTCTTAACATTTTTATTTTAAAAATATTCTATCTTTAGCTATTATTAACATTTATTAAATCTGGTTAAAGGGGGTGAGAAGAAAAGCAAAATTCTATCCGTGTTAAGAAAGTGGTGATTGGACGTTAAGGCCTCCACTATTAGATGTGTCATTTAGTTTTATAATGCCGATTGTATACCAGCTTATGAATATAAGTAATTTTTTTTTTTAGCGTTATGGAGTTTAATCAATTTTACCATATCCTTTTTCTTTTAATAATTTATGATTAACTTATAGTTATCTCAAAGGAATTAATGCGGCTTAGGTAGGTTGGTGGGTTAGAAAAACTGGGAAAGATGTTGAAAGCAGAACAAAATTCACCCTAGCAAGCAACTTCCCTCCCAACACCCTCTCAAAAACTAAATACTACTTAATAAAATGAAAATACATGTGGAGCAAAATTAAAAAATAAATAAATACAATACATAGATACATGCATGCGGAGTACAAGACTAGACATCATTCAATATTGAATTTTTAAAATATATATATTGAGGGGTGTTTGTTAGCCAAGATGTTGGCATCAATCACTGGTAGAAAGCTAAAGTCTGTATAAACGGAAAACACTTTCTGATCTCCTTTTATTGTTATTCCTCTTCTTATTTCTTCCTTAATCTGTAGTCCACATATTCTGTTTATAAGATCTGCTTTCTCCATATATAAATATTAGCTCTGAGAACTTCTTTACTTTTCACTTACCCTAAAAACCCATTTATTCCCTTTTCACCAATCTTCTATAAACGATCTTCTCAACAATCCAATATTCTTCTTGTGCATCTTCTCCTTCGTTGCTTTGATCTTTTGTTTTTGGACAGTTTTTATAGCCTTACTTCACAAATAAAGAAAGGAGTTGAGGGTTAGTTTAACTTTAGGTTTCTATAGCTAGGAACTTTGTTTTATTATGTCGGATATTATTGTTTGATAATTCATAAAGAAAGAAGCAGATGTGCAGCAGGGGCCATTGGAGGCCTCACGAAGACCAGAAGCTTCGGGAGTTAGTGGAAAAATATGGACCTCATAATTGGAATGCTATAGCAGAAAAGCTTCAAGGAAGATCTGGTAAAACAAACTGAAAATCATCTTTAATATATTAGTTATTATATTATTAGTATTTTCCATTTCTTCTTCAGATTGTCTTTCTTTCTTTTGTACATATATACTAGTAATAGCTTTGTGGTGTCTAGTGTTCAAGACCAACAAGGTTTTGATAATCATAAGATGTGGAGTATAATTTAATTTCAAGAAATTTAATCTAATTTCCTTTTTACTTATTTGTTTTTATGCCTATTAATTATTCAGCTGAAAGGAGTTTGGTTATTTTGCTTCATTTTTTCCACTATGAAATGGTCTAAAGAAAACTTCAGATTTGGTTGTTTATGCTCACAAGAAACTAGGGTTTGATGAGGACAGTTCGATTCTTTCCCATTTTATTTTTATTTTAGGGAAAGTGGTTGTTGTTCTATCGCCAAGAAGATGGTCATATTTCCTTGTTGTTCCTCTTTATTTTGATATTTTTTAGCACTCATCTATCATACGGGTACATTCGATTCAGTTTCAGCTTCTTTTTTTTTCCAATATAATTTCTTTTCTTTTTTCCTTTATAATTTTTTTTCTTTGTTTAGGATGTATCTAGGAGTTGATTGCAATAATTTTATATGGAAGTCTCTTTTCCGTATGTCTGTATTACGGTCAAAAACTTAGCCACACCTGATGTTTTAACTAAATCATTATTAATTTTTCATGGTTAAGTAACGAAATAAGGTTTGATTATATTTGAATTAATTAATTTAGGCATCACCCTAGCTATACTGAACCACAAGGGGTTTGACATGATTCCTACCTGTCTATGCGTAATTGACTAAGGTTTAGCGATAACAAATAATATAGAGATACATGATATGTACTAATTGAGTTAGTGTAAACACCAAGTGTGAGTAAGTTTTCTTTCCTCTGTATTGCTATGTGACATTGACTTCATGAATTTGGGAATATAAATATACGAATAAGCAAAAAGAAACATCATAATTCAATTTTCTTTGCATCGTGAAACAACTTAATTATGGAAAGGAAATATTAAAGATGATATATATTGAAACTCGATAAAGTCATGCTTGTTACTATATATCTTGTAGGGAAGAGTTGTAGGCTGAGATGGTTCAATCAATTGGATCCAAGAATCAATAGAAACCCTTTCACAGAGGAGGAAGAAGAAAGGCTTCTTTCTGCTCATCGGATTCATGGCAATCGATGGGCAATAATAGCGCGTCTTTTCCCTGGTCGGACTGATAACGCTGTCAAAAACCATTGGCACGTTATTATGGCACGAAAATGCAGAGAACGGTCCAAGATTTATGCAAGGAGAGCTATCGCTGCTGCTACTACTGCTGCTCATAAAAAATCAACGAGCAATGAGCAAGAATCGTCGTCGTCAAGGCAGCAAGATAATTATATGCAAATGAGTAATGAGATAATGATAACACGGTGCTTCAACTCTTTGACGTACAATTATTCCTTTTACCCGAAGCTGCTTCACAATGACTATCTTTTTCATCATGCAAAGATGGATCAAGGTAATATTGTTATCCAATTTTTAGTCACCCCTTTTTTTGGGTAACCCTCCTTTGCTTGTTCTATGTGACTTCTGTTAATAATGTTTGATTAAATTTCTTCAATTTTACTCTACGTACTTTTCATATTGCCCATTCGGGGATATTGGATTAAAACTACTCTTCTTTTCATTTTAACCATCTCATATGATTTTTTATTTCTTGAAATGAAGAACTCCATAATATTTAATTAGTACTAGAAAGCACTTTTTTTTCCTTTGATATTCTCAAGGGATATCCATTTTTTAGAAATCTTAGGAAAGAAAAAGACATGCCCTCCGTAGTTTATGCTACTTGATAAACAAGGTTTTTTCACAAGAAAAGATAAGTATATATTTAGTAGCTTGATTATCAAAACTTTTGTCTAACTATCCTTTATCTCTCCCTTAATTGTCTCATTTAACTAACATTACACTAATTAGAACAATAATGTTGATCTCAAAAAGAGTAACAAATGACTTTTAATTTTGCTAAAACATCAATTATATTGGACCATAGGTAGTACAAATTAATTTTTCGGAACTAGCTCTAGGGAAAGTTTTTTCTTTTGTTGATAATGATATTCCCTTACATATTTTTTTTTTTTCATTAGTTTTATGTACAGATGAAAACCAACCAACGGAGTTCTATGACTTTCTACAAGTGAATACCGAATCTAACAAGAGTGAAGTGATAGACCATGCGTCTAGAATAAGAGATGATGAGGAAGTTGAACAGGAAGCTGTTGATCTTCATCAGAACGCACAGTTCATAGATTTCTTATCAGTTGGAGACTCAGCATAAACTCGTATATATCAAGAAAAATCCTATCAATTCAATCTATCTATAGTTTAGAATATGTGTATAACGCCCTTTACTGTGAAATCCAAGAGATTTCTGCATGGATGAAGTTCCAGAATATTCCAATATAATTGTATTAGAAAAACAAAAGATTAACTTTTAGATCTATAATAATGATCTTGTTCATGTAATTCAAACAATTGAGACGCTACCAGGTTAGTTGAAAAATAATTACAAGTATTTGTGTGTATTATTAAATACACGTTCAATGGTATCAAATTTTATGTCTTTCACGTTTTAAATGTCCAATTGTGGATGTGTCGACGAATTAAGTTAGACTCTCACATTTGGTGAAGGCGAACTATAGTCGCTTTTTACTTTCATGTACAGTATTCACCTCATGAACAAGTTATTGAAGTTAAGATTGATTCAGTATTTGTTTTTCTGAACAAACTCAAATTAATGGGCAAAACGATTTTTCAAAACTGGCACATAGAGTAACTCACAAACATGTTAACTGAGGACCAAGCATGCGGATATTCTATATTATAGACTTAATTTCAGTTGATTCCATACTTATTCTTGATTTTACTACACTATTACTCATGTTCATCATTAATAATTGTATGATGTTCAGTTCTATCTATTATATAGAATACTAGCAATTTTAATTATATTCCCGCAGTCCAGATCAGATAAAGTAGCTAGCTATTTCAATATGGAAACGTCGTAAGTAAAATTTATGACTTTGGGTAAATTTCGCAAATGATCACGTAACTTTACATTTTTGTGCACCAAAGTCATTATTGCCGGAAATGTGTGAACTTATTTGTATCAGTTTCCCAAAAATCAAGTTGTTACTGTTCATCACCCTCAAATAATTGTATTATTTAGAGAAGTAGGCTTGAATTAACTAATATACCATGACGAATAGTGCATAATTAATCACAACTCCCTCCATCCCAAAACTAATTGTTATGTTCGTTTCTCGAGACTCAAACATTATTATTAGGAAAATTACAACTATTTTTGAATATTCAAATATTAGTTTTAAAATATTGAATTGATTTAATCCAATTGACTCTCTAAACATGACAACTAATTTAGGATGAAAGAAGCATTAGTCAGCAATATAGCAGAAGACTTCTCAGTTATACCAGCGAAATGTCTTCCTTAGTTCTGCGTTGCAATGCTGTACATTAGTATATTATTCATCGTATTGACCACATACATTTTGAACTGTAAATTATGTAGCAAAATCAGGAATGTAAAAGAAGAGCAGTTATTGTCAAGGAGAAAAAAGGTTATAAATCTATTAACATCAAGGTTAATTTCTAGCATTATTAATAACTTCATAATGATACTGAGGTACTAAGACTATGCGATTTGATGCAGTTTAGGAATATCGTGATTAATGGTTTTGACAGGACACATAACAACTCTTCTCTCACCAGAGGAGAATATCCAGGATTTCAAGAGGATGGATGCATTACTGCGAAGAGGTGGATCTAGAATTTACATTTGGCTGGTTTTACTTTAGTCTCTTCACTATTATTCTTTCAAAATTATAGGTTCAATGTTATATATATATATATTTTTGTAATTTTAGTAATTTTCACATATATATACTCTGTGCCGAAAACAACACTGTTCAAAGTGAAATTTGAACTGTCAATCTTACTACCCAATAATAATTGCACCATAAAAGTCTTTGGGCATGAGTTCACACATATAATTAAGTAATTTGAGAAAATACAACATTGAAAGTTTAGTGAGAGCACTATATATAAATCCACATAAACACATGTCCCTCAACTTCTTGGATACGCCTCTGCCTCTCATCCCACCTCCACAGCACCCACACTCACAAATCATGTAAATTCGACGTGTCACCTTTGAGTAACATTAAGTATGGTGAAAATTCTTGGATGGCCCCATTTTGTTTGTCACTCAATTGATTTTAACGTGGTTAATGAGTTAATCATCCATTAACCAGATTACTAGTTCAGGGTGAAAATTATTTTCCCCTCCAACTTTGTATAAAGAAAACAAACTGAACTCTGATAAAGTAACAGTTTAGTTGGAACAAAAGCAATATACTGTCATTTCGGAAGAATATAACATACGAAATCAAAACGTTCTATAGCATTATAAACTAGTTCATCAATAGTACTGTTGCATTCTCTCTCTTACTATTTTTGGTTCAAAATATTACAATTTTATTATTTCTAATGTCTACCATATAGTTTCTGTTGCATTAGGTGACGTTTTAACTATTGCAAAAATTAATTGAACCATACCAGTATTCAAGAGAAGCTGATGATAGAAACTAGGGGTCCACCAAACTATAAAGAGAACTAGGTTCTCTATTAGTTGTCACAGAGCACACGCACACAACAGCAAGTAAATGATACAATGGAGTTTTCGGTGGAAAACTCCCAGCTCACGCGATTAAAAATCATGACCTACACTCGTAGGATTTCAACTTCACTACTGAGCAAACTTTATATTACAAACTATTGTGACCTAGGAATTAAACTCTTAATCCCTCACTAACTTGTAATAACCCTATCACAAGCCCCTTTGCAATAACTCAATTACAAAGCTTACAACTCGACTAACTCTAAACAAGACACAAACACAAGGTTTATGATTTTGACAAACGGTTTCCTACACAATGCTTCTTAACTAAGCTAAGTAGGAATTACAAGTAAATCACTTTATCAAAGCTGCAACATAACTAAGGACATGTAATGACTCAATGCAGGAAACTGGTCCTTTGTTATGTTGTTCTTTATTCTTGAAGCCTTGAGAGTCACTTGCAAGATTGACACCCTTGAGAGAAAGCATGATCGATTCTGGAATGTGCAAGTTACTTATTTTTTCTTTGCTTCATGTTAATATTACTCAAGTGATGTCACTTGGATGATGAAGCATATTTGGTACAAAGGCATTCCCCATAAAGTTATTGGTGCACTATTTGCCTTGTTGTGTGCGGCCAGAGGAACAGTTGCAGCAGCTTTACAACTATGGGGAGTTGACTTAGTACAGTCAGCACTACAAGAAAAGAGGACTACGACGATATTTAATCAGTGACGTGTGAAATAAATGTCAGAAAAAGACTAATTTTATGACACTTAATAATAAATATCATAAATTCATTGACATTTAATAATAAAATGACACAGTTATTGCGACCATTAATAGAAACGTAGCTATATGAGTCAGTATTTACTGACATTTATAGCTAATGAAGGATATTTGTTACATTTGTATAATTACTAAACTAAAAATATATTAAGTATATGCCTCGTCTACAAATTTTTTCTCAAAAACCCTATCAGTCTTCCTCTTTTCTTAGACCCAAAAAACTGATGTCGTTGTCTCGTATTTACGACATTGTTGAGGTTCTCGCAAAATCACGACGGTTTATATAAATTTTCTGCCATTTTCTTTAGACTCGCTTCAAATGCCTTTCCAGCACTAGACCATTTCTCGAACCTTAAGAGTCGCCCTCGATTTGGGGATAAGAAAATCTCATTGTGACGTCAAGAATTGAAAGGGGAGACAAGTAGTTTATCCTTACATCGTTTATAGAACTCTAAGCATGAAAGATACTACTGATAATTCTCAAATATTTTATCTTAGATTTCCGTTCTATTATGTTCACTAGATTGCATTTTCTCCCTTTGAAATGGTGGTGACCTTTTCCTTTATTATGATGTATTGAAATTTGTTATGCTTGCTGATGATTTGTTTGGAAAGTGGCAGATATAATTTATTTATGAAATTAACAGTTCTCTGTTTACGTTCAAGGTAAATGGCTATTGTGGAGTGCTGGAATTGATCATTTTGGGGGTAAAACTTTATTATCTGCATCATTCTTTATTTTCTATGTGACTGCACATTTGCAATTTTTATTTCATTCGGTGGTTGATTATTTCTTCCATTGAATTTTGTCTTATTCTTATCTTTAATATGATTTCTTTTACTGTCTGTTGTTATAGTTTATGCTTATTCACTAAGCTCTTTCTTAATTCATGTAAATTATTTCTTGTTTAATTGATTAGGGTTATAGATTCTAATAGAGGTAAGATGACTGTAGAAAGGTACCTGTAGGTCCAAATTAAAGAAATTTTGCTTGGATATGTCAGAAACTAAACCGTGCCTTAGAAACAGGAAACATCTAGCTTTTGCATTTGGTAGGTTAGAATTACATTTATGTCTGAAAGAACAATCTTTTAGTCCAGTAGAATAACCTATTCATACCTATGATGCCAAAATCTCAGTAGGCAAACAAGCAAGATTAAATTTCCTTGACAGATAAATACTCAACATCAGTCCACCAGAGGGAAGACCACTTTGCAACTGTAGCACCAAATAACCATAAGCTCATTGCTCATGAAGGACTTGCAATGTTGGATTCGTAAAGGAGATGGCATTTTGTTTTTCGGTATGAAGATGGATGTTATTACTATGTATATGCATGAGAAATATGAATGTAGCATGATCAGTAACAAAATATGGCCTATGAATTCAAGTTGATTGTGGTTTCCATCCTTGCAGGCTAGTCAAGGGGATCATCTCCTTCAACTGGGATAAGTAAGTATCTAGTTTGTATTGTTTATCACTTAATCAAGACACTAGCATGAATGGTTAGCATGAAATTCACTACTAACAAGATTATCTTGCAGGTGCTCAAAATGAGTTCCATTAGGAGCATACTCAAGGTCCGTCATCCTTGTCAAAGGTTATACTCTTCACAATATCAATGAGATCAAGAAAATTCTTGTGGTTCACAAGGTATCAATCTTCTAAATGATTATTACAGAACATCCATTAAGCTCTATAATTCAAATGTCATGCTTAGCTAGAAGGGAGCAGGAAGATGATTAGAGTAAAAGGATAGAGAGAACTTTTCCTTCTATATTATTATTTCGTGTTGCATTTATTTTATCTAAACAGATGTATAAGTGTTCATGCACCTTATGCATTTTGTTACTTTATGGATCTTATGTTTTTTATGGATGTTTTTAAGTTGTGCAGATTCTAACCTTGCAACTGATACCATTTGCCATATAATTTCTATTGAAGTCGCCTGCTAACTGGTTTTTATTACCTCATCTTTTTTAACTTTTGATTTATGCCTTTATTATTTGGTTTATCTTAGGTCGATATGCAAAAAATTAGAGTCAAGAAGTGAATAATATTGTGCAAAGGGTGTTCCCGTAGAGGTTCCAGTTGCCTCTATAGTATGCAGTCTCACCTATTGAACTGTTGTGAATCAATGTTCTTGTAGTCAGCATTGGAGTTCATTTTTAGTTAGCATTCAGGTTGTTCTGAAGATGTACAAGTAGAATAATTTATATTGTTCGAGAACCATTGCTGAATGGTGCTATAAGATTTATAAAAAATAATGTATAAATGACTCTTTTCTTTCAATTCAATTTTTTTTCTGTAGTGTATGGCATTGTAGTTCCAAAATTATGTGAATGATTGACTGTGTTGCTATATAAAAGACTAATATTTCCTTTAAGTATGTGGAAAAGATACAATGCTATTGGCCCAAAATAATTTACCGACATTTCTATGTATATGTAAAGGATGAGTAAGATTTGGCGACATTTCTTTATATGTCGCAACTACTTTGAGTTTACATACAAGCTGGTGACATTTAATAAAATGTCGTAGATAAAATGTCACTAATTATTTGTCGACATTAATGTAAATGTCGCAAAATTCCCGACATTTATTATAAATGTCAAATAAATGTCGACAAATAATTTTGTGACATTTATGTCACTTAAAACGACATTTAAAAAATAATGTCGTAGCCCTATTTTCTTGTAGTACAGCAAGGGAACTGATATAATATGTTCCCTCTATCATTTCTTTGACTCTGAATCGTTGAGACATGTCCCTACTAGAGAATTGTTGTTCTTGAGCACCTGATGATGTAGAGCAAGTTCCTCATCTGGTTCTTAAAGTTTGATAGATCATCAAAACATATCAGGTCACATAACCTATCAATTTCCCCCTTTTTGATGATGACAAACTTGCAATTGATATTCCTCTTGAGAACCAGAGTGTCATGCATATTTCCTATATTCCTCCTGAACTTGTTCCCTCTCATGTTCCCCCTTAATTCATTTTTCCTCATTTGGAATCATAAATAGATTAAGTACAAGCAATAAGCAAAAAGAAGTCTAGCCTGGTTAACTCATGCCATATGTGTGCACTCAAACATGACTATAAACAGAGCATAAGAGCAAAGTATGCATAGGAAAAGGACGGTATATTCATTAAATTTGGAAATAAGAAGTAGCAGTACCAGTTGTTACATAATCATCCACACATTAAAATAGCAAAAAAAGTACAAGTCACTGAACACAGTCAAACAAAAAGGATTAAAACAGAGGACAGACAACTTAAACTTGGCACTTGGAAGGGAACGATTTTAGGGAGCACTGGAAGGGGGAGGCACAGATGAAGAGGCAAGGGTTCTAAGGAGGATGTCTATTCGAGCATTTCCTGACACCTACTTGTTGAGCAGCCTCTCCTTCAGGTCCTCGACATGTTTCCTCAGATCAGCATTTTCCTTTGTCAGCCGGACAACCTTTGTGCCTTGTGAACTACTGGAACCAGGTGCCTCTTGGGCCTGACTGAGCTGACCTTCGAGAATGGCATTCCTTGCCTTCAGTTGCCTTATCTCTTCAGTGGCAGTATTCTGAGAGTCAATGAGTTGAGAGATAGTGAAAGTGCTGCCAGCCACTCCCCTTTTATCGATACACTCACACTCTTCTAAGGTGGTCTTGGAGATGGTGTGCTTGCGAGTACCCACTATAGCCTTTCCCAAGGGGATCTTGAAGTAGTTAAATACTTTGGTGAGTAAGAACCTATACGGCAACCCATGATTACCATCCTTAAAAAATCTGCCACTTTCTTCATATGTTCTATCAGTAGACCAGGCAAGTTTATAGTGGAGTGGGCATCTAGTGCTTCCATTAGAAACAAGTCTGCTCATGACGTAATGGAACGTCTTTCTGCACGTGGGAGCAGAACCTTGTTGACCATCTCAAACAGCAGTTGGTACACTGGAAGGAGGGCCTTCTTGTGTACCCGTTCCCCGTGTTGTACTGCATTATCCTTCAAAATGGCATTTCTGAAGATTGAAGAACAAGTACTTTCAATGGAGGATAAGCCGCAGTAGGCACTCCTAAGATGGTTCCCAACACACTCTCATCCATCACAAAGTCAACCCCATTCACCTTCATGTAGATGTTGTCATCCTCTACTGTGAAAAAGTCAGTATAGAAACTGCACACCTCTGCCTCATACACCTTAGGATTCTCGACCATGAACAAATTTGTCCACTGTTGAGATTCACAAATCTCCACTAGTTGGCGCATACCATGCATGTCCATAATATCAGGGGCAAATGTTCTGCCCTACAGTTTTTATTTCTTAAGTTTTCTCTTCTTGCATCCTTGTCCACACGTATCTTGGCCCTTTGGGAAGAACCAGGTTCCTCACCAACTTTTCTTTTCACTAATCTTCTCACACATTTCCCTTTGTCTGCAGATTTCTCAGACATAGATTTCTCAATCACCTTCTCATCGGACTCCTCAACCATTTTCTTACTAGACTCCTCGACTACTTTCTCACCATACTTTTCAGACTCAACGTTGCCAAACTCCATCACACTCTCAGATGACTCCTTCCTGGATTCCGGAACTGTAGGTTTCTTGAAGGACTTACAAACTAAGGATCTAGGTTCCTCATTCACCTCATCATCAATGTCCACAACAAGTTCTGGAGGCACTACCTTCTCATTCACAAACTTTCCATCCTTCACCAATCTCCTCTTCTTCTTTTCTTATTTGTTTTTCCTTAGAACAGATTCATGATCTTCCTTCTTCTGTAGCCTAGTAGTAGGCCTCTTAGGGGTGGAATCCTTGGGTGTTGCTTTTCTACTCCTAGCACTAATGAATCTTGCAAGAGCCGCATTGTCACAGTCTTCTTCATTATCCTGATTCTCCTTCTCAAACAAAGATCTCATTTCAGGAACAACAATTGCCAATGATAAGAGGGAGCGGGATCAATACTGACCTAGGGTTCTTATGGAGAACTAAGGATTTCATCCTAAGTAGAAGCGGAGGGCTCCTCTTGGGTGGAGGGATTAGGTCCTTCGTGTGGTTCCCCAGTAGTAAATTCAGGTGCCAAATTTTTTATAGGCACCAGTTCACTACCCTCAACTTGTAGACTATCATCTTCCCCCTGAGACCCATGGGTTTCAGATACACCTTCATAACTACCCGCCTAACTTCTCTCAGCAGCTATCGACAACATATTTTTTATGGCTTCTTGTTCTTGTAACCCCAGTGTAAAATCAGAAGGCACTGCAAGAGTATTACCTGTAGAATCAGCGACATTCAAATCTACGTTTGGTCTAGTCATCACTGATTCCTCACTATTGTGAACCACACCCTGTTGCGCTTCAGGATTCCCTTTTACTCGCATACTGAAGACTTTTGGATTTTCTTCTCCTTCTACTGTTTATCCCTCAGCCATTTTTTCCGGTGAGGTAGAAGAAGAGGTCGTAGCTATAAACCTCTTGGGGTCTGAAGTCTTGTGATCATTGCCAACTCCGCACCACTAAATAGTAGCGAGAGAGGGTCGCAATAGCTTTTACCCAATTTTGGGGTCGGGATTGAATCCATAGAGAGCTAGGATTGGAGTTGAGTATCTATTTAGCTTAGGATCACGTGTGTGTTCTTAATTCGTCTTCTCATAATTTTTGGGGTTTTCTTTATATTCTACTTTGATCAAACTACTAATTGAAAATGCAACTAGATTAAGCTATGAGATAAATTGCTACAAGTTGTATCTAAAGGTTTAAAAAGGCACTAGGGTAGTGACTTTCACTTAGGTGGCTAATTGACGGGTAATTGCATCTAAGGCACGATTGACATGATTGGGGAAATATGTTATAACTGTTGCTCAATACTACCCACTCTACACCTCTCGGTAGAAAGAGTGGTTTTGCCCAATTGACTCTCTCGAGACCAATTGGGTATGCATAATTGCCCAAGCAACTAGGGTTCAAGTTGGGTAATTACCCTCTCGAGGTTTAACCCTTTAATTGGGACTATCAAATCTCTTGAGTCCATCCTAATTCCTTGTTGAATCAATTTTGGAGACTTAGGCTCTCTTTCTCAAGAAGAACCCAAGTCTACTAAGCACAAACTAGTGTTTGCAACCACTAATTTATAATTAAACCATAAAATTGACCCAAATAACAAATACCCAAAATCAATCTAACCTTAATTACAACACCCATCAATTATCCACACTAGCGTTGAGCCACAACCCTAGCTAATGGGTCTACCTACTCATGCTTGAAGAGAAAATTATAGAAATAGATGGAGAGAAAGACATATTAATTAATTACTAAAGTAAATACAAAGTTTCAATGATTAAAACTACGTAAAGATGCCAAAAATAGCAAAGAAAGGTCTTCTCACGAGCGCAGCTACAGTGCTAAAATATCTGATACCCTAAAAATGGAAAAAAGGTTCTATTTATACTAAGCTGGAAAAACTTGACAAAAATACCCCTACGGGGTCAGTGCGGGCCGCACAAAATGGACTGCGGCCGCACTAGGCTCTTGGACTTGAAATCTTGGCTCTCTGAACTAAGGCTCCGCGGATCGCACAGAATGGACTGCGGCCGCGGGCAACTAGCGCGGTCCGCACAAACACGACCGCGGACCGCACAGGCTTGATCCTTAGCACTTGGCATCTCTCTGAAGTTTGCTTCCGTGGACCGCACAAAATGATAGTGCGGCCGCGGTGCCTCAGTGCGGACCGCACAAGACCTTCTGCGGGCGCACTGACTTGATGCCTGAAAATCTAACTCTCTGAATCTCCCTAGTGCGGACCACACAAAGTGTACTGCGGCCGCAATAGGTCTGTTTCTCCAAAGTTTTGTCTTGTCTTTGGTACTTGTGCAGTTTTTACTCCTTTTGAGCCGATCTTTGACATCTCGTCACTTTCTCAAACCTGTAATCAAGCACAACTTATGAGCCTTTCGGGACTATTTTGTAAGAATTTATACTCAAAGCGTAAGCAAGAAGGAGCATGGAACACGTCAAAATCCCTAGTTATCAACTCCCCCAAGCTTAAGCTTTTGCTTGTCCTCAAGCAAACAAAATAAGACCCACCCCTTTTAGGTAAAATCCAAGAATTTTCAGCTATCCTAAAGTAGCCTCAACTAGCCTCAATTGGGACTAACAATTGCCCTCAATACAAATGAATCATTAACAATATTTAACCCTTGAAAAAC